CACGGCACGGCGCGGCACGGCGCTCACCGCTTGCAGAAGAGGCATGCTGCGGGCCAGGAGAAGAGGGGGAACTTGGCCCTGCAGCAGCAGCAGACCTGCGGGCAGAGGGGGGGTGAGAGCCGGGGGCCGGGCGGGCGGCACTCGGCCCCTCCGGCCCCAGCTCCCACCTTCCCCTTCCGCAGGCTGCTGTACAGCTCCTTGCTCTGCAGGAACTTCTCCATCTCGGCCTTGACCAGCACCCTGCGCACGTTGATCATCTCCTCCACGGTGAGGGCCAGGCTTTCCACGGGGTGGCTGAACTCCTGCGGGCGACAGGGGACGTCAGCCCGGTCTGCCGCAGGGCTGCGGCACAGGGCATGGCCCGGGGCATCCCTGTGCCATGGGCAGAGCCTCCCGGCATGGGCAGAGCATCCTGGCATGGGCAAAACATCCCCAACGTGGGCAGAGCAGCCCTGGCACAGGCAGGGCATCCCAGCATGGGCAGAGCATCCCGGCACGGGCAGAGCATCTCCGGCACGGGCAGAGTGTCCCTGGCACAGGCAGAACCTCCCGGCACGGGCAGAGCATCCCTGGCACAGGCAGAGCATCTCCAGCACTGGCAGAGCTTCTCCGGCACGGGCAGAGCTTCTCCGGCACGGGCACAGGGCACACGGCACGGTGTGCCTCAAGTCCCACATCCCATGCAGAGGGAGCGGGGAGGCCACGGAGACGCCCCCAGCCACCTTGTGCCCTCGTGCCAGGCTGCCGTGTGCCCGTGGTGACGCTCACATGGTGTGTCCCCAACCCCAGTGACCCCAGCCCCGGTTGTCCCCAGCCAGCCCCGGCCCCGCCTCTCCCCCAACCCTCACCAGCCACAGGTGCTTGGAGCTGGTGCCGGGGGCAGCGCCGGATCCGTCCTCTGGCCTCTCCTCCACGGCGCCGAGGGCAGGCCGGGAGGGTGCTGAGCCGTCCGGCAGCGGGTGGCAGCTGGCGGGGACGGAGCCTGCGGGGAGGGACGGGGAGGCCGTGGCAAGGCCACGCTGCCCGGTGCCACCCCTGCCACAGGGCACGGCACAGCCACCCTGGGGATGGGGGAACGGGGGTGGCGCCGGGCTGGGGACCTCCGGCGGGGACCCGAGCGGGGCCCAGCCTCAGGCTGGAGCGCCTCCGGCTCCTGGGGCGCAGCCTGGCCGCCCCCCAGCTGGCTCTGCAGCTGCGCCAGGTCCTGCTCAGAGAAGGAGCGGCCCCCCTTTCGCGGCCCCCACGCGCCCGGAGAGTCCTCCTCCTGCAAGGCCACGGGCACCGCGTCACCCCGGGGACCCCCTCGTCCCCTCGGCACCTCCCTTGTCCCCTCCGCCCTCCCGCCCCACCGGGTCCCCTCTCTTGCCTCGGAGATGTTCATCTCCTCCATCTCGGCCAGGGTGGGCGCCTTGAGCAGGACGCGGGGCCGTGGGCGCGCCGGCGCGGTGCTCGCTGGGGACCGGGAGAGCTCGAGGCAGGAGCTGGAGGCCAGGCGGCCCGAGCAGGCGTGGGGGATGCAGGGCAGGGAGCTGTAGCCTGCGGATGGGGACGGGGCTCAGACCCGGCACGATAGGGACGTGCCCTGGTGCCGGGCACGTCGCCGGCAGACCGGTGCGACGGGGAGGGGATACCGGTACCTTTCTGGCCACAGTACGGCGTTTCCACGGGCCGAAGCTTCCTCTCCTGCCTGATCTCCTCCAGGATCTTCTCGTGGAGCGTCCTCTGCTTCTGGGGCAGGGGCCGCAGCCGTTTTTTTTTCTGCGGGACACGTGGACGGGACCTCAGGCGGTGGCTGCAGCTCGGGGCTGACCACCCTCAGGGTGCCCAGCCAGGTGGGGATGGCACCCGCGGGAGCCGCCAAGCCCGGGCCGGGCACTGCCATGCCACGGAGGTGTCCTGGTGCCGGCACTCACCTGCTTCAGCGGGGGCCGGGAGCGGATGAAGTCGAGGATGAGCTCGTGGGCGTCCTTCTTCACCCGGGGGGGGATGTCTCCGTCCACCTGGGAGAGGGCAGAGGGGCCGCGGGAGGTGTCAGTGCCAGGGCCGGCGGGCAGCACGGCGGCAGGGCAGGGGGCCGGCGCGGAGGCAGCCCAGCCGCGCTCACCATGACCTTGCGGAGTTTGTAGTTGCGGGCGCGGATGTCCTGCATGAGCATCTCGAAGGGGGTGAGCTGGTACTCGGTGGGCAGGGGGTTGAACTGCTTCTCCTGCACCTTCTTCAGCTTCACGCCATGCCGCAGCTCCCGCATCAGCTGCACCCACAGCCGGGCCTGGGGGGGACAGGGACGGACACGGCGTCAGCTCCCGCCCAGCCCTGGCACGCGCACCCGACCGTGCCGCCGTACCCAGTCGGTGTTGCGCAGACTGCCCAGCTCCGCCGCTGGCCGCTCCTCTGCCTCCTCGTCCTCCTTCAGCTTCTGCAGCATCTGCCGCGGCACGAGAGGCCCTCACCCCGCCCCGGCACCCAGCGGCACCGAGGGTCCGGCCGGGGCCGCAGCACCGATGTGTGCCCCCAAAGCACCCCCATCCCCGCTACGAGCCGTCCCCACCGGCGCCAGCCCGGGGCAGGCGGGAGCCAGCGGTGCCACAGCGCAGCGCCCCGGGAGAGGGTGTACGGCCAAACGCTGGCGCCGGCAGACCTGGTTGGGGGGGGGCAGAGGGGAGCACCACGCTCCCCCCAGCGTTTTGGGCCCGCGGGTGGTTCCCCTGGCC